TCAACAGAATGACTATGAAACTTACAGTGAGTACAATATAGCTTATCCTTTCTCTTGAAGGTAGAAGCATTTCCAAATCTGGATCCATCATTTCTAGGACCATAATTCATCATAGGTTTCACAACTTCAGATCTAACATCAGATTTGTATCCATCGTTTCTAACATCATAATTCATTGCAGGCTTCACAGCAACATCAGATCTAATGGAGAATGCTGCAGATGCATTAGTGGACATGTTTTCAGTTCTTAATGCCTGTGCACTTATCTTTCTCTGGTTTTCCTCTTGCACCATAAGTGCAAATACTTTATTAATAGGCGGCATAGGATCCATAAGCAGGATCTGACCCCTAACTTGAGAATAGGACTCATTCAACCCCATAAGGAAGGACATGATGTACTCTAATTGGTGATATTTGTTCATCTCCTTAACTCCTTCACATGTGCATTTTCCATAGTTACAATTAGGCCTAAAATTGATCAACTCTTCCCATACGGTCTTCAATTTTGTGAAATAAACACTGATAGAATTTTGATCATGTGTCAAGTTCATCAGCTCCTTTCTAAGTTGATATACGTGGTCCATTACTTTGTTGGAACCTCTCTTTGAGGTCATTCCAGATCTCGTGAGCAGTAGAGGCGTAACTTATACTAGCCGAAATTTCTTTTGAAACTGAATTCAGAATCCAAGACATAACAATGTTCTTGTTTCTAATCCATGAATTAATCAATTCTGGATGTGATCCATCTGGTTTCTCCATAGATCCATCAATGAAAGAGGTCTTATTCTTCACTGATAGTGCGATCATCATCACTCAATTCCACGAAGCATAATTTTCCCCAATAAGAATCTGTGACACCAGTACCAAACCAGGATTATCCGAATGGTGAAGATAAAATGGGCTAGATGGTTCGTCGATAGCTGATTTACTCAGCGACGAATTCACATCCGTATTAATTTGATAATTTGCTGCATCCATATCAGCACAATTGCAGAAAACTCTCAATGAGTTCGAAAGTCAGAGTTGCTCTGATACCATATTGAAACCAAGAGGAATCACGAATTGGAGAAGAAATGTTTTCATTAATTGCAAATCTAATACAGCTTCATCAGATTAAATAGACCAAGGGCAGGAAAGAAGTGGGAAATCAGTTTAGCTGAAAGAGGGAAGAAAAAGGATTAAAAGATAACAACCTAACTAATTACAATTAAAAGGATAAAAACGTAATAGAGGAGAAAGTGCTAAAACTATAAAAACGTTATTTCAAATAGGCGTCTTTTCCTTTTATGGTTGATTTAAGCAAGCAATGGTGCTTTCTGATTTTGCAGTGGTGGTTGGTAAATTTTGTTCATAAATAATAGGAACAATACATATATCAGATCTTAACTATATACCATTTCAATTTTAAGAAAGAAGGTTGAATATTTCAATAATCAGGTAATATATATTATATATCAAAATTAAAATATATTAAATATACATCCTAAAATTCAAGCATTTAGTTGCCAATCCAAACTGGACTCTCCAAAGAAGAACAAATCGTGACCACTGTCGAACAAAAGAAAAAGCCACAAAGATCTATCATATTCTCGACTACCACCGTCGAAATCTGGCAATTGAAAATAATCGGATATTGAGCTCACAAATTGGAAGTTATCGTCATAGTATATCAGAATTTTTGGAGGCAACGATCACAAATTGAGGTGATGATAGCAAATTGATAATTGTGATCATCCCGAAGTAGATATGAAGGGTTTCAAAGTCACAATTGGTGGCAGCTAACATTGTGTTGTTATTGTATTCTCCTATTTTGAATTTACGAAACAATGTTGAAGTTATGTGACTTGTTGATATGGATCTATGCCCTATGAGCTATGATATGTGACCTGTGACCTATAAATTGTTACATATGATATTGATCCAATGAACTGCAATTAGTTCTCTTCGAATGCGGCTTGTGTACATTGATTTGTTACATATGCAATATGAAATGTGACATGTTATCAAAGCACATAGACACGTTACACCTGATCTGTGATCAGTTAATATTGATAGATGATTTGTTGTCATTGATCCGTAATCTATGCAATATGACATATGACCTGTAAAGTGTGACCTATGACCATAAATCAGTTATCTGTAACCTATGGAAATTGATTTGTGACATATGCACAATGTCCTGTAAACTGGTACCATAACATGTAACAAGTGCATATTAAATTTTGACAACTGAATTATGACATGTAATAAGGGACCTGTGACCCGTGCAAATGAACACGTGACCGGTAGAATTTAACAATTCGAACAACTTATCAATACTAATGACAACCAATAAAAATCACTACAAAACCTCACCACCACCCGCAAAACATCAACAACAATCAATAAACAGGGTAATTAGCAGAAATGGTCCC